GACGCTCAGGTCAGAGAGGAGCAGAGTGAAACGCGTCCTCAAAACTTTCTACAAAAAAACCTGGAACAAATAGATCAAGACCCCCATCCTTCATGCTCCCCTGATCTCGCACGTCCCCTCAGGGGAGATACACGTTTGGCTGCGCTGCAGTTACTTGTTTACAGGGCCGTCTCTTTACTAGAGTTTTCGTTGCTTATGACTGGGAAGCATGCCTTTCATCCATGATCTCCAGCAGCTAACAGGAGACGTGGCAAACAGTGTGGGCTCTCAACAAATATTTGTATGCATATATGTATGTCTGTATATATATATATGTTAATGTGTATATATATATACACACACATATATATTTCTTTCTCCTCATAGTACTAACAAGCAAGAGTTTGTTTTTAAGGTCGCATTGACTAGTAATAGTGTCTGAAATAAATCCTTTAGACCAAATCCATTGCCCAAATCAGAAGGCTCCTTAGAAGCAAGGATGGCGAGATCACATACTTCGGACATGTTATCAGGAGGGATCAGTCCCTGGAGAAGGATATCATGCTTGGTAAAGTGGAGGGTCAGCGAAAAAGAGGAAGACCCTCAGCGAGATGGATTGACACAGTGGCTGCAACAACGGACTCAAGCATAATGATAATCGTGACGATGGCGCAGGACAGGGCAGTGTTTTGTTCCGTTGTACACAGGGTCGCTATGAGTCGGCACCTAACAACAACAACAACATTGCCCTCGAGTCGATTCCGACTCATAGTGACCCTATAGGACGGAGTAGAATTGCCCGATAGGGTTTCCAGGGCTATAATCTTTACAGAGGAGCTCTGGTGGCGTAGTGGTTAAAAGCTTCGCTGATAACCAAAAGATCAGCAGTTCAAATCCACCAGCCACTCCTTGGAAACCCTGTGAGGCAGTTCTACTCTGTCCTATAGGCTCACTATGAGTCGGAATCAACTCAATGGCAACGGGTTTGGTAATCTTTACGGAAGCGGACTGCCACATCTTTCTTCTGAGGAGCAGCTGGTGGATTCAAACCAACAACCTTTCAGTTAGCAGCCAAGTGCTTAAGCACTATGCCACCAGAGCTCCTTCAATCCTTAAGGCAGACCTTTCAAACTCAAGGTTGGCTGCCGTTGTAGGTCTTGGCGTGAATGCGTCTTTTCCATTTCCTCGTGAAAAAGGTTGCCTTTGTCACCTCCACTTCATTTTAAAAAGGTCAACTGAATTATATAGCTGTTAAGTGACACGATCAGAGTCGCACAGACTCACTGCAGAGTTCACAATCCAGAAGGAGCATGCACTCTGGGGCCACATAGGAGTAAGCACAGGTGGTTGGCAAAGTACGGTAAGCATGACAGCTGCAGTCCTGGCACCTGGGATCAGAACCCCAACCCCCATAATATTGCCAAATTTCTCTATTGGTCAGAGGGAAGTTTCCAGACCCTTTGCCAAAGATTAATTTTTGATAGTGGATGGTGGTATCTCTTCCCTTCATCTCCTATGGAGACAGGTTTGAAGTCTGTGTAGTACCCAAGAATAAGTACTAGTTACACTTCTGACCTGTTTTTACAATCTTCAGCCTTTATAAAAAGCTATCTCTGCCCCTAGGTATCAAGGTACAGAGAACATTAAACAACGTTCTCTAGAGTTACCACAAAAGGCAAATTCCCAGGCACCCACAGTGGGAAGGAGGACAACTGCCTGTGTAAAGTCAGCTCGAGAGAATAGTATGCTTGGCAAACAACTCGAGAGCAGAGCCCACGCTGCTGAAGAGAGCAGAACAGCGGAGCCCAGGGAGGACCCAGCAGTGAAGGCCTCACCTGGGGAGCAGGTCAGAGCGCCCCCCACAGCAAAGATGGGGTCACAGAAGAGTCAGGAAAAACAGCAAACCGTGGCGGAGATACTGTCACCAGGATGTCAAGACAAAAGGACGGCCACTGGGAGGACAGGGACACCCTCACTGCAGAGTCAAGACATGAAGATAGCCAGAGAGGTGGGGAGCCAGCACAAGCAGCCGACAACCCCAAGGACAGTGCCCATGAAGGACAAAGGAACAGCCACAGCAAAGAGACTCACCCTAGGAGGTCAGGGCATGACTCCAACCACCTCAGCGGGAGTGAGAGGAGGCCGTCTCTCAACGAGGAATAGAAAGACGGGAGTTACCCCAGCAATCATCCAGAAAAAAAGCACCTCGGTGAGCATCAGGACTCAACCAAAAGCCACACCGAAGGTGAAGCTGAAGAGTCTACCATCCGAGGAGAGAGCCGCTTCCCAGGGTCCCACCGCACAAAGAGCCCAGAGACTGAAGGCCACCAACTTCAAGTCTGAGCCTCGGTGGGATTTTGAGGAAAATTATAGCTTGGAAGTGGCGGCCCTACAGACGGTGAGTTTTTGCCAGCACCCCTTACCTGTCGCCTTTCTGCTCTGAAGCTCCTCTGAGGGGGCAGCCCACCTCTACCCTCTCCCCCTCCTCCCAGGCACTGCTTTTCAGCTTTGCCTTGTCCCCATGCTCATCACGAAGTAGAACTCAGCCCTACGCTCCTCTCATCCTGGCCTTCCTTCCTGTAAAGGCCAAAATGGGGGAGAAGGAGGAGATAGGCCCCAGAGCCCTGGCCCGGACGGCATGGGGAGGTGTGAGTGAGAAGGGGCCTGCCACGGGGTCACCCTGGAGGGACCATCAGGGCCTGCTCTGGGGCTTGACAGTTGAATCCCCATCCTCTGGTGAGGGGGGGCGGGGAGGTAGCAGGCTGGCGGTAAAGGGGGACTAACAGACAAGAACACCAACCTCAGGCCCAGCCCCAGGCCCTAGAAATGCCTTGTCTTTCCTACAGAGCCAATTCCACAACCTTCACTCTCTTCCAACCCTAAGAAAACAGGCTGGGCCCGCACATCACACACGTGCCTCCTCACGCTCCCTTCCACGGTGGGAGGAGGAAGGGGAAGCGTTCAAAATGGTTATGTTTGCCTGCATGTAAGTGCAGCCATGTGGATCCACTGCACGAGGGGACACCACTGGACCACGGTGGGCCTGGATAATGGAGGGGGTCCGCAGACCCTGGGAGTAGGAAGGAAGAGGGAGGTGCAGCAGTGCCTTCGCAGTTTGGAGGCCTGCGTTCTGCTCCCTGCACCCCAGCCCCTTGCCGGTGGCTCCCACCTCGCCCTGCCTGACCCTCTCCTCCTGCGTATAGAGCTGTCCCGACTCTGTGAAGGTCAAAGCCTCCCAGTCTCAGTGGCTCCAGCACCTCTTTCTGCCCAACCTGACCCTCTTCCTAGACTCCAAACGCTTCACCCAGAGCGAGTGGGACCGCCTGGAACACTTCGCACCACCCTTTGGTTTCATGGAGCTCAATTACTCCCGTGAGTGCTGGCCCCAGGGGAGACTGTGCGCACTCGGGGAGGGCTGAGGGCTGCAGGCTTCTGGTCTGCCTCGTCCCTGGTAGAAATGATGAGCTGACTCCTGGTCCCTCCCAGGCTGAGTGGAGACCCCCCCCCCCACTTATTCCAGTGGTGCAGAGGGTCGTGAGCCGCTTCGCCCCAGTGCCCCAGCAGCAGCTGCTCCTGGCCAGCCTCCCCCCCGGGGAGCCCCAGTGTATCAGGTGTGCCGTCGTGGGCAACGGGGGCATCCTGAACAACTCCCAGGTGGGCCGGGAGATAGACAGCCACGACTACGTGTTCCGGTGAGTGGGCCCACCCCCTTGCGCCGGACGCTGCCCCTCTCCTGCAGGCAAGGGCTCTTCTGAGATTGGGTGAGGCACCCACGCCTCTGCTGCCCGCGTCTGGAAGGCGCAATTCCTGCCTCCCCAGAGGATCTCAGCAAATGACAGCTGCCTCCCTGCTTCACCTTCCTGTCCCGCCCCAGCACCCTCCTCCGCTCATGGGCTCTGTCTCCTTCTGTCGCTCTGGTGCAGACTGAGCGGAGCTGTCATTAAGGGGTATGAACAGGATGTGGGCACTCGGACGTCCTTCTACGGCTTCACCGCCTTCTCCCTGGTCCAGTCCATTTTTCTGTTGGGCAGACAGGGCTTCCAGCACGTGCCACTGGGGAAGGTGAGCTAAGAGGAAGGGGCCTGGCCACGCCTAGACTCTGGATAAGAGAGCCCACGGGTGAGCAAGGGAGGTGGCACCACGTGTTGGAGTCTGTGATTAGTGCAGGCTCCGTTCAAAGGAAAGGCAAGAGGAGGAAGGGCAGCCAGAGCCAGCCGAGAAGAGCAAGGGGTCCCGAAGGCCGTCCTCCTGGCCCACTTGCTGCCCTTGGTCCTCAGAATGTCCGCTACCTGCACTTCCTGGAAGGCACCCGGGACTATGAGTGGCTGGAAGCCCTGCTTCTGAATCAGACCCTGATGGGAAATAACTTTCACTGGTTCAGGTACCCACTGCCCTCTCCCTGACCCCACGCTGAGCTGTGACGGGTTCAGCTATCAAGGGGACAGCCTGAGTCATCTGCTGGGGAGGGGGCACTGTCACCAGTCATGTCCCTGACCCTGCTCGGCCTGCCCTACGAGGTAAGAGAACTGGGCCTGAATGACCCGTTCCCGACCTCAGGCGCCGGCCCCAGGAAGCTTTTGGGGAAGCCTTGCCACTGGACAGGTACCTGTTGCCACACCCAGACTTGCTCAGATACATGAAGAACAGGTGAGAGCAGAAAGCATGTGGCCAGGCCCGGCCTCTCCTGCTTGCAGACTCCTGACAGCTGGGGGTCTGGGGTGTTTGACAGGTTTTTGAGGTCGAAGACCCTGGACACTGTCCACTGGAGAATATACCGCCCCACCACGGGGGCCCTCTTGCTGCTCACTGCCCTTCAGCTCTGCGACCAGGTAAGGCTCTGCCTCAGGAGCAGGGGGACCTGGAGAAACAGCGCAGGCTGTTCCTGGGCCTGCTCAGCCTGGGACAATGGCTGGGCTGGATGCATAGCCCCCTGGAGGGGGATTCGAGGGTGTGTGCGTGCGAGTGGGTGTACGCATGTGTGCACGTGCATTGAGGAGACCTGCACCCAGACCTCTAGGGATGGAATCAGGTTAAGGGGGACCCCCCTCAACACACACACACAGAAGAAGCAGCCTGGGAGGCAGTAACTGCAGGCTCTTTCTCCTCCAACCTTTGTGTAGGTGAGTGCCTATGGCTTCATCACCAAGGGCCATGAGCGCTTCTCGGATCACTACTATGATAAGACGTGGAAGAAGCTGGTCTTTTACGCAAACCATGACTTCAAGTTAGAGCAAGTGCTCTGGAAACGGCTACACGACGAAGGTATAATTTGGCTGTACCAGCGCCCAGAACTTCCAAAGTAAAGAACCGACGGAGGTTGCAATCCGCCCTTCAACCCTTCCAAGGAACAGTGTGCGCTGGGTGTCTGAGACTCTTGCACCATTTTCTCTAGTATGAGAATCCTCATGATGCCTCAGGGAACACCGGACAGAGGAAGAGTCTCACTCAAGACGGCAAATGATCCATTGTGGTTTTGGAGTCTTTTTGCTGCAGGGCCTGATTCCTAAGACCAGAGATCTTCAGCGAAATGAGGTGATAAGTGATCAGCGCCCTCGCTGTTCAAAAGCCACTCGCTACAGTGGAAAGAGCCTGAACTCATAGAGACATAGAGATTTGGATTTGAGTTCCAGATCTTCTACTGACTACTTGCAAAATCTTGAAGACGTTACTTAATTTCACTACAGGTTGTCTAGAGGACCTTTCCAGAGCTTATCTGGTTCTAGAGCGGCTTGCACCTTTTATAGTCTTTGAGATATTTTACAACTCTGTGGGTTGTAGAAAGCTGATAGTAATACTGATAATTCTTGTCCATGAAGATGCAAATGAAGTTTATACAATGAAGGTGCAACTTATTATTGCTCTGTGGACAGCCACCCAGTTTTGCATCTATTTGCAAATTCATTGTGGCCTTTCTGATTGCCTACATGTGTGTCTGTTCTTTGGAACCAGTTTTTACATCTTACTGGTCCCTTCACTAATGAGTCAATAAAATCTTTGACGTGTGTTCATTTTATGTTCGTATGAGAGTCATGATTTTACATTTAAAAAAATCATCCTTTAAGTCAATCACAGAAGGACACATATTGTATGATTGTACTTTTATAAGATGACAAAAATAATATACAGAGACCAACATATATAGCGACAAATATGTATACACAGAGACCAACGCTCACTGGTGGTTACCAGGGATGGGGCGGGGGGGTAGGGGGAAGCACTCTTGAAATAGTAGACACTTGTTATTTTTGTGATGGGAATGGTAGCATCAAATGTGGGTGAAATGCACACAGCCTAACCAAGGTAAATAATGTCACTAGGAAGTGCACAAGAGAGAAGGAGGTTTTAGGGAAAGGATATGACAAATAAAATTTTGCAACATCCACGACAACCAAAAAATATGTGTGTGGTTACACAAATATGTATATAGGCATATATGTGTATGGGTATGAGTATGTGAATACCTATCTCTGCACAGATAGATGTATCTATAGGCCTATGTACATACAGATATGTGTGTGCATACATGTATATCCATATATATAATAAAGCACATAGCAGACATAGTTATGGATACTTCTTAGACATAACCAAACACCTCTTGAGATTGGTTTTCTGGATTTGAAGGCTTAGGACCATAGTCTCGTGGGACAACCCACTTGATTGGCATAATATAGTTCATAAAGTATATGTTCTACATCCCAGTGTGGTGAGTATTATCTCGGGTCTTAAAAGCTTACAAGCAGCCATCTAAGATAAATCTATTGGTCTTTTCTCATCTGGAACAAAAGAGAGAGAAGAAAACCAAAGACTCAAAGAAGAAAGCAGTCTACAGGACTAATAGTCTACACGAACCACAGCCTCATCTACCCTGAAACCAGAAGAACTAGATGGTGCCCGGCTACCACTACCGAGTATTCTGATTTGGGACACGATAGGTGGATCCTGATAGAAAGGGAGAAAAATATGCAACAGAACTCAAATTCTTAAAAAGGCTAGACTTACTGGGCCAGTTGAGACTAGAGGACTCTCTGAGACTATCGCCCTGAGATATATACTTCAAACCTTAAACTGAAATTATCCCCTGAGGTCACCTTTTAGCTAAATAACAGATTGGCTCATGAAATAAAGACTATCACCCACAAGTAATGAGCTTCTTTACAAAATCATCTCTAGGATGGTCAAAAATTGCTCTAAAGCAAAGACAAGAAGGTTAGGGGGCAGGGAAACTAGAGTACTGGAAATGGTACAACCAGAACGGAATGAATGTGAACGATGACACATTGTGAAAAATGTAACCAGTATCACTGAATTATTTGTGTAGAAATTGTTCAGTAGGAACTTACTTTGCTGTGTAAACGTTCGCCTTAAACACAATAAAATAATATTTTTTAAAAATCATCCTTTAACATTTCCTTAGGGCTCGGTTTTCTAAACAGTAAAATGAGTATTAGAGAATCCATCTCACGAGGCTATTCGCGGGATTTTTTAAATTATGTGAAAAGCCTGGCGCACTTTAGGAATTAGTTCTCCTTCCTCTTTTATTCTTTTATCTTCCCAGCAACTTCTTTCTCAAACTCCAGGATTAGAATTTGAGCTAAGTCAAAGATCACTTTCGTTCACTTTACCCCTTTGAGCTTTATCTCCAGGATTTGGACTCTGGAACCCAGAAGGACCCTAGACCCCTTCATAAACAGAATAAGGGCCCTCGGTGAAGTGGAAAGCAAAAGGATTTAAAAAAAAAAAAAAAAAAAAAACCCACCTCGTTCTCCCTTCTAGACTTAAAGTTCAGTAACACCAGTAGGTCCGGGGACTTGCCTTCCTCAAAGAAGGTGCAGTGCCGAGACCGGGCGGCAGGCGGCAGCATCTCGGCGCCCTTGCTCTCCGCGGCACCTGCCGGCCACCGAGCCCCTCCTCCCTTCTCCCTGGACTTGGGTGGGAGGAGCTGTCACAGTACACATCCAAAGGGCCCGCCACCCCGCCACGTCTGGTCACTTCTGTCGTCCGCAAAGTTTGAGATGGACAAAACCCATTTTGGCAGAGCCCCGCTTTAGGGTGCGTTTGGGGGAGAGGGATGGACCGGGCGGAACCAGTCGCGCTGCTATATTAGTGATTTCCTGTTGCCCCCTCCCAACCCAAGGGCTGGGACATCCCTGTGGGCTTCAGAACAGCGACCTGAATGACGGGGGTAGGGGCCAGGGGCTGAGCCAGAGGCGAGACGCAATGAGAGAGGAGGGAGGGCGTAGGGCTCGGAAGGCTCCCGCCCACCCTTCCCGGCCCCCAGTCCTCGGGGAAGGGGGCTTGCAGGAAGGGGCGCTGTGCCGGCCTGTGCTGCCTGGGGAAGTCCGTCCACTAAGCGAGCCCCCGGGGTCCGCGCTCCCCGCCATCCCCAGGACGCGGGCCGGGTAGGCTTCGTCCCAGCCGCTGAAGATCCGATGCGCCCCTCCTGCCCGCGCAGGTGGGCGTCCCCTTCCCAAAGCCCTGCACCCCAGCAAGAGTTGGGCCGGCACGAGGACACCCCGGGCGCGCCACCAGGGTGCGCCCGCAGACTAAGCCCGCCTTTGCTGGCCTTGGTAGCAATAAAGTCTTTCCCCTTCAAACCACTTGGCCCCTCAGCTTTTGGGGGTAGGCACCACATCTAGTCAGGGATGGGGGAGAGGAAAGGAACGGTCAAGGGCTAAAAGGTCCTTTATCGCAGACTCCTCCTCAAATTTAAACTCAGGCTACCCAGCCGTAAAGGAGTCCCTGGGTAATGCAAAGGTTTAGACTACTAACCTAAAGGTTAGAGGTTCGAACCCACCCAGTGGCGCCTCCCTCGGAAGAATCAACTGGTGGGCAAAAATTATGATTCAAGCAAGAATTATTAATGGATGCTAAAACTAGTGGCTAGCAACGATTGTGAGGATGGCGCAGGACTGGGCAGTATTTCGTTCTGTTGTACACTGGGTCGCTGTGAGTCGGAACTGACTTGACAGCCCCCAACAACAACAACAAAACTAATGGATGAAAGTTGACTGGGGAATAATCTATAATAATAGATTATCTGCATAGTCTCCAACTATCTCCCCACAAAGTATATATTAATCACAAAGGGAAAATTACAGCTGTACCATAAGAAACACAGAAACACTGCCTTAGCCAAATAATCAAAGTTATTACCCCGGTAATGAGACAAATCAACATCATGTGCCTCTGAGAAGGACACAGCATCAATTCTGTGGCATTCCTACTTAAGAAGCCTGATAACGTTAACAATCTAATCTAAACAACAAACAAGTTCAAACTGAGGAACGTTCTACAAAATAACTGGCCTGTTCTCTTAAAAAATGTCAAGTCATGAAAGACAAAGACAGACTGAAGATTAAAAGATAAAAAGAGCCCAGGAGAAAGGACCACGAAGTGCAGGGTACGAGCTAGGTCTGGACCCTGGGTCGGATTCTTACTCTATTTGTTATAAAGCTATTGGGACAATGGTAAACTATGAATGAGGTCTGTAAACTAGATCACAGTGTTGCGTCAATGCTACTTACCTCATTTTTTAATAATTGTACTCTGGTTATATAAGGGAATATCCTTTTTCCTGAGAAATATGCACTGAAGTATTTAGGAATGAAGGGGCATCATGTCTGCAACTTAATTTACAAATGGTTCAGAGGAGAGAGAAAACGATATAGCAACCGTGACAAAATGTTAATACGTTAATTGGGGAATCTGGGTGAAGACAGTATGGGAGTTTCACCTCTTAACAAAAAATTGAAACTGGATCTGATCAAGCCTCTCAATCACAGTTTATAGGAAACCGAGGATGGAGGAACAGATAAACAATTTTGCAATCAGCCGAATCCGAACTGTGGCAAATTCTTCGAGACAAATGATGTGGTTTTTTGTTTTTACGAATAAATGGCAAGCAAATAAAAAGAGGAAAGTGGAACTGGTATATATTAAAAGAGACCTAAGAGACATCATCCAAATGCAACTTGGGATCTTATTTGGAACTTGATTTGAAAAGACCAACTGTAAAAAGACATTTATGAGACAATCAGGAAATTTTGAACTTTGTCTGAACATTGTTGTCGTTGTTCGATGCCATTGACTTGGTTCCAACTCAGAGCGACACTATGTACAACAGAACGAAATGTTGCCCAGTCCTGGGCCGTCCTCACAGTCGTTGCTACGTTTAAGCCCATCGTTGCAGCCACTGTGTCAGTCCGTCTCGCGGAGGGTCTTTAATACCATGACTGAACATTACATAATATTAAAGAGTTCTTGTTAACTGTTTTGGGTATGTTAGTGGTATTGTAGGGTTTTCTTCTTTTTCCCCCAAGGAGTCATTTTTTTCTTATTGATTATGCTGTAGAGAAATGACTCTCCTTGGCCCATGAAAATGGAACTTCGAAGTCTGACGCACGGCAATGAGGAAGACATTTTTATAGGGCTGAAACAAGGAAGGCGGGTAGAGGGAGGGACTTCAATATTCTGATTGGTTTACAGCGATTGAGGTTTGGTCTTGGAGGGGGCCTCATGACCGTCACAAAACAGTGGCATGATGATGACATGATACCGTTGGGAACAGGTTGTTAGACGTTACCTCGCTCGGAGCGTAAGATCTCCTGGGGAGATCTAACACAAAAAGTCTCCATAAGGTTTGGTTGCAGACAGATAGTATCCACATTCTTAGCCTGACCAGAAAGGAAAGCATTTCCTTAATGCAGGATTGGTTCCTAAGCACCAGAGTCTGAATCGTATGAAGGGTCACACCGAGCCTCAGCATTGGTTCAGTCATTTTATTTTAGGTCAGATGCCTCTTGATTTTATATCCCATGTCAATTAAAGTATATAGCTGGGATTTGCTTTAAAATAACCCAGAGGGCGAGGCAGGGGAGAGGGGAGGATAGAGATAAAATTGGCTATGTATTAATAGTTGCTGCAATTGGGTGATGAGTAAGTACATGGAGTCTGCGTATACAATTTTCTCTACTTT